TCGGTGCAGGTCTCATTTCCAAGTAACTATGAGCACTATAGTGATCAAACTTGCATGGATGATACATCTAATGATGCATACTACCAGACTTGCTTCGGATGCTGAATCTGACCTACATTTTCTGGTTGAGTGAACAGGTTAAAGTTTTTGGTGCAGGTTTCATTTCCAAGGTACTTTGAACCCTATAATGACTAAACTTGCATGGATGATACATCTTAGGATGCATACTACCAGACTTGCTTCGGATGCTGAATCTGACCTACATTTTCTGGATTAGTGAAAAGGTTAGTTTTTAGCTCACCTCAACGAAGTTGGGGGGAGCTTATGTGATACCCTCGGCGTCGGCGTCCCGGGTTAAAGTTAAGTTTTTTGGAGCAGTTTTCTTTTTAAGTACTTCTATGTCCTATATTGTTTAGACATGCATGGAAGATGTTTCTAGTGTGTTTCATTGTACCAGTCAAAGTTTCAGATGCTGCAATTTCAGCAAAGGAATGACCAGGTTAATGTTTTTGGTGCAGGTTAACATTTTTGGTGCAGTTTTTGGTGTAGGTCTCATTTCCAAGTAACTATAAGCCCTATGTTGACCAAACTTACATGGATGGTACATCTTAGGATGCATACTACCAGACTTGCTTCGGATGCTGAATATGACCTACCGTATATACTCGCCTATAAGTCGGTTCGCCTATAAGTCGGTTGTATTTAATAAGCTTGCATATCAGATGGACTGAAGTCATATAAAACCATACTTTTAATAGCTTGCCTATAAGTCGGACAAAGAGTTTTAGACAAGATATTAACTCCCAAAAAACCGACTTATAGGCGAGTATATACGGTACATTTTCCGGTTGAGTGAACAGGTTAAAGTTTTTGGTGCAGGTTTCATTTCAAAGATACTATGAGCCCTATAATGACCAAACTTGCATGGATGGTACATCTTAGGATGCATATTACAAGACTAGCTTTGGATGCTGAATCTGACCTACATTTTCCGGTTGAGTGAACAGGTTAAAGTTTTTGGTGCAGGTTTCATTTCCAAGTTTCTATGAGACATATAATGACCAAACTTGCATAGATGGTACATCTTAGGATGCACACTACCAGTCTTGCTTCTGAATCTGACCTACATTTTCCAGTTGAGTGAACAGGTTAAAGTTTTTGGTGCAGGTTTCATTTCCAAGTTACTATGAGACATATAATGACCAAACTTGCATGGATGGTACATCTTAGGATGCATATTACAAGACTTGCTTCGGATGCTGAATCTGACCTACATTTTCCGGTTGAGTGAACAGGTTAAAATTTTTGGTGCAGGTTTCATTTCCAAGGTACTATAAACCCTATAATGACTGTCTAAACTTGCATGGATAGTACATCTTAGGATGCATACTACCAGACTTGCTTCGGATGCTGAATCTGACCTACATTTTCTGAACGAGTAAACAGGTTAAAGTTTATGGTGCAGGATTCATTTCCGAGTAACTTTTGAGCCCTATAAAGACCAAACTTGCATGGATGGTACATCTAAGGGTGCTTCAGATCTAGGCTGGCTTCAGAAGCTGAATCTGACCTACATTTTCCTAATTAGTGAAAAGGTTAGTTTTTAGCTCACCTGAGCCGAAGGCTCAAGTGAGCTTTTCTGATCACATTTTGTCCGTCGTCCGTCCGTCTGTCTAGCTGTCTGTCCGTCCGTCTGTCTGTCTGTCCGTCTGTAAACTTTTCACATTTTCGACTTCTTCTCAAGAACCACTGGGCCAATTTTGACCAAACTTGGTACAAAGTATCCTTGGGTGAAGGGGAATTTAAATTGTTAAAATGAAGGGACATATCCCCTCGCAAGGGGAGATAATCAAGAAAAGACAAAAATAGGGTTGGGTCATTAAAAAATCTTCTTCTCAAGAACCACTGGGCCAGTAAAGCTGAAACTTATGTGGAAGCATCCTGGGGTAGTGTAGATTCTAAATTGTTCAAATCATGACCCCCGGGGAAGGGCGGGGCCACAATGGGGAATCAAAGTTTTATATAGAAATATATAGGAAAAATCTTTGAAAATCTTCTTCTCAAGAACCACTGGGCCAGAAAAGCTGAAACTTATGTGGAAGCATCCTGGTATAATGTAGATTCTAAATTGTTCAAATCATGACCCCCGGGGGAAGGGCGGGGCCACAATGGGGTATCACAGTTTTATATAGAAATATATAGGAAAAATCTTTGAAAATCTTCTTCTCAAGAACCACTGGGCCAGAAAAGCTGAAACTTATGTGGAAGCATCCTGGTATAATGTAGATTCTAAATTGTTCAAATAATGACCCCTGGGGGAAGGGCGGGGCCACAATGGGGAATCAAAGTTTTATATAGAAATATATAGGAAAAATCTTTGAAAATCTTCTTCTCAAGAACCACTGGGCCAGAAAAAGTGAAGCTTAGGTGGAAGCATTCTGGGGTAGTGTAAATTCTAAATTGTAGGAATCATGACCCCCGGGGGAAGGGCGGGGCCATTATAGGGAATCAAAGTTTTACATAGAAATATATAAAGGAAAAATCTTTAAAAATCTTCTTCTCAGGAACCACTGGGCCAAAAAAGCTGAAACATATGTGCCCATCCATGGAAGGATCATGGGGTAGTGTAGATTTCAAAATGTCTAAATTATGATCAGTGGGGTAGGGTGGGGATGCATTATGTATAACAAGGGGGAAATCTGGTAAAGAACAGAATGGTCGAAGCTTCTCAGGTGAGCGATGTGGCCCATGGGCCTCTTGTTTTATACAGGTTTCATTTCCAAGTAACTTTGAGCTCTATGTTGAACAAACTTGCATGGATGATACATCTTAGGATGCACACTAATGGACTTGCTTCAGATGCTGAATTCGACATACATTTTCCAGATAATAGACCTCTTAAAGTTATGGGTGCAGGTCTATCACCAAGAAACTATAAGGCTTATATAAACCACTTGCACAAATGATCATCAAGGGATGAAAACTCTCAATCTTGCTTCAGATGCTGGATTTTAATTACATTTTCATGATGAAGAACTAGTTTTAAGTTTTTATATAGGTCTATTCCAAAGTATCAAAATAGCATAAATTTTGCATTTTTGGATGTACACTTGTTTTTGGTTAATTGTGTGACTTAATTTGCCTTACTTAAAGACAACATTCGTTGAGGTGAGCTCTGTAATCTCTGATTACCTATGTTTTATACAGGTTTCATTTCCAAGAAACTTTGAGCTCTATGTTGAGCAAACTTGCATGGATGATACATCTTAGGATGCACACTAATGGACTTGCTTCAGATTCTGAATTCGACATACATTTTCCAGATAATGGACCTCGTAAAAGTTATGGGTGCAGGTCTATTACCAAGAAACTATAAGGCTTATATAAATCACCTGCACAAATGATGCATCAAGGGAAGAAAACTCTCAAACTTGCTTCAGATGCTGGATTTAATTACGTTTTCATGATGAAGAACTAGTTTGAGATTTTTATATAGGTCTATTCCAAAGTATCAAATCAAAATTGCATAAATTTTGCATTTTTGGATGTACACTTTTTGTTGGTTAATTGTTTGACTTTGCCTTACTTAAAGACAACATTCGTTGAGGTGAGCTATGTAATCTCTGATTACCTATGTTTTTACATTGTAATACCCTTTTTTATGAGCTTCATATCGCTGTGTTAAAGCCTGAGACGTGGATGTGTTGTAAGATACTTAGGCTTATAGAGACTTATTGTCTACAATCTGTGACATGTATGATCATCCATCATCCACAATTCCACCATGTGTCATTTTCTCTGGTATATATATTTTATAAGGACTGTAAAAGTATATATAAGAATTTCCAATCTATCTAGTGATTTGAAGGTTTTTTAACCAAAGAAAATGAGTCTGTACGGTAACAGTTTGGATGTGTTATGGGATAATGATACAGTAAAACTTGTTTAATCCGGATGTTGTGAAGTCCAAAATCATGTCTAAAAGGGTGTAAACTTTAATTCCTTTGCAGTAAACTAACTCCATTGTTATAGCTATTGTGTAATCCGTAATGTTTTTTAAAAAAATTTCTTTGGAACAACAATTGACCAGATTAGACAAGTTCTACTGTAACCCCCTGATTTACTGTTACATGTAAATGTTTTCTCTGGTCTGATCTACATTTTTGTCACGAGTATTGTCACGAGTATCTCCTTCGTATTTAATTGCAATTTAAGATTTTGTTGATCTGTCAAGCTAATAACTGTGTATTTGTTTCATGTTGTCCAATTATGTTTGTGGAGAAACATTAAGTTTTCTCTGTCATTCCTCTCGATCTTTGCGTTACATCTTGTAGAGATCTGTCAATTATATATAACTTATTGTCTTGAAGCAGGATTTGAAAATGAATTGTGTATTGATTATATATGGTATTTAAAGATCTTTAATTGATAATTGGCAGTTGCCTAGTCTTTCTATAGATCAAGATATGCCTTTGTCTCTTACCTAGGTTATATAAGGGCTTCTATGTAAACCTTCAGGTGAAGTATATAACTTATGAGTAAGATGCTGTTTCTTAGAAAGGTGAGAGGATTTCTGTAGGAAAGGTTGAAAGTAAATCGAGACAAGTACTGGTAAAACTATCAGAATATTTAGTGTCTGTCACAGTAGTAATATATGATTATGTTGTTTACTTGAATTTCAATTACTCAGTACTGTACCTACGGATTGGGGGGGGGTGTTGGGTTTCCATAAGACAACTAGACCAATCTGACTTCATATCTCAGTAATAGTGCCGTCAATAACATACACAATGGTTCCAGTGGTGAAAGAAAGTGGTGTTTTGCAAGGACTATAGAAAATGTAAATTTTTGTACATGGAAAGAAAATATCATTTAGCTTGATAATAGTTTTATTGGACTCTGGTAATAGTATTTATTTATCCAATACACTGTGCAAAATTGGTCATGAATAGACAATTGAAACATCTACAGGATGAAAAGCTAAAACGGGTTAGTCAATTTTTCTTTGGAGGGAATGTGATAATTAAATCAAGGGATGCTGATAATATTAGCAGGTCCTAGTCAATACAGTATGATGATGATGCTCATTAAATTGACGGAGTGACGTTTGTGTACTGATCATCTGTTTTACATTCACAGGTAGACGTAAGTAGGACATGTTGAATGGTGATCAGTCCAACTTTAGGTACTACCAGACCAGAAATCCAATAACCATGCCGTTAGAGCCGCTCAAACGATCTCAGATGAACACCACTCAGGAACGAGTCTTCTTGGAGGCAGTGGAAAGGGGAGATAAACCCACTGTCATCAGATGTCTGCAAGGACCATATCCAGTTAATATTAACTGTACCAACATGCTTGGACGCTCAGCTATTCAGATTGCAGTAGACAATGAAAATGTGGAACTTGTAGAAATTCTTCTGAAGCAGGAAGGGGTGAAGATTGGGGATGCCCTTTTATACGCCATTACAGAAGGGGTGTACAAAATTGTAGAAATGCTGATTGATCATCCGAGCATCACTTTAGAAATGCTTGGACCTGATTGGTGGAAATCTCAGAGGCGAGGTGAGGAAAGTTCTGATTACTCCTCAGACATTTCACCCATAATCCTGGCAGCCCACTGTAACCAGTTTGAGATCCTCCAACTGATTCTCCTGAGAGGAGCCAACATTAAGTTCCCCCACATGTTGTCATGCTCCTGTCAGGAATGCCAGGAACAGGTCAACGAGGACAGTCTCAGGCATTCCCTGTTCCGCATCAATTCCTACAAAGCCCTGGCTAGCCCGGCATGGATCTCCCTCACCAGCCCTGATCCGATTCTCACGGCCTTCAAACTCTCCTGGGAACTACAGAAACTGGCCCTGACCGAGAACGAATTCAAGGACACGTACATTCAGCTTAGTGACCAGTGTAAGAAGTATGCGTGTGATCTGATGGACCAGTGTCGGAGCAGTGAGGAGGTTATCGCTGTTCTGAACAGGTGTTCGGACTCGGAGGAAGAGGAGGATGAAGAGGAGGGAAACTGTCCACCCCTCACGGAGAAACTCACTCTGTCCAGACTGAAGCTGGCACTCAAATACGAACAGAAGCAGGTAGGTCAACAGGTTTCTAAAGATATACTCTGTATTAATTTTATCTGTGCTTGTAAAGATCAAAGTACAAAAAAGGAGCAAATTCAGAGAATTGTGTTCCACTGCTTTTGGTGTTTTATTGACTAGGGTGCAGTGGTTCATGGCATACATTGTTTTCTGTCTTGTTTGTCCTGGCTTGTCTGCCAATCTTGCAAAAAATCTTTTATACATTTTTTAAAGAAACATGTTGTATTGTAAAATTTAAAGCCAAGATTAATTTTTTTGTTTATGATATGTCAGATAAAAATTCAAAGTTCATTCTGAAAAAATGTCATACCATGGATATTTCAGTCATATGGAGGTCCAAACCACTTTTTCTCTATTACACTTGATATCTCATTACAGTTACTTTGGATTTTTAACGTACTATAACAAGTGGGGTTTCTAGAGCATTAAATTAAATTAGATTACTTTTCAATATACAAAAAATCATGATTTCTTGTGATATATCTATACATTACATTAATTTTTTAATGCCCTGTTCACGCGAAGAGTTTAATTTGCAGTAAATTAATGTGAAGTAAACTACATTGCCTTATGCAAGGTAAACTAATGCAGATTAACAGAATGATTTTATTTTACTCCCTCTTCAAAGAAGGGAGGGCATATTGCTTTGCTGCTGTCTGTCGGTCCATTTAGTTTCTGTTCATTTTCTTCACAAACATTTCACCTACTGAAATGAAATTTGGTATACAGATTTGTCAGATGAATATCTAGGTCAAGTTCTGTTTTGGATACCATCACACAATTTTTGACAGAATTATGCCCTTTTGGACGTAGAAAAATTCCAGTTTGGGGGGAGTGGGCATATGTGTTTTCCAAACATCTCTTGTTTCTACAGTAAAGCTATTCAGTAAGGCTATTATGATGTTGTTTTCCAATCATGTCACCTCATGAAGAGCAGATCCATTTGACGTAAAGTCATAAGTCTGTAGACTGTTCACAGATTAATATATCCTTTGTTTCTCACTCAAAAATGGTGCAAGTGCCTAAATCTGACCATGGAATTTTTTGCATGTGACTTAATTTTGCATTACGCCTGCGTCAACATTCAATCCGAATTGGCGTTCACAAGGAGCTAATGCGACTTAATCTTATTTGAAGTAAATTACTTTGAATTCAACTAATTTGCATAAAATTCTCCATATGAACGCAGATCAAATTTAAATCGCAGTTACTGTACTTACGTTGAATTGGAACTAAACTCTCCTTATGAACAAGGCATGAGAGTCAGATCTTTTTACTAGATCTTTTTCAGTAAAATTCAATGTTCAGGAAAGAATGAAAGAATTTTTACAGAACACTTTATTCTGAAATCAATACCCATTTTCTCACCTTTTTAATAGCATTTAATCATCATTAATATTAGATTGGACATTATTATGCTTCCTGTCAGTTTGTCTCTATATAACCCATACCCTACTATTCTCGCATAGTGGTCTAAGGATTTATATAGCGTAAACATACTATGCCGAAATAGTGCACGGCTTTATTTACTGAAGAAAATTCTTCCATGCACACGCCGGGAATCGAACTCACGACCATGAGATTGTCAGTCCGATGCCTTATCGATTACGCCACAGAGACGATCACTGTTTGGTAGAATTTTATTATATATATAATCTTAATTTATACAATTGACACGAGAAGGAGAAAATAGATAAATATTATTTGAAAACAGTTATATTATTCTAAGGAACCTTAGATTAATGTGTACAACAAAGATTCAAACTAATTACATACAGATCGTTAGATGAACTGATTTCATAGGGTCATTAAAACGCTTTTTTATATGACGCTTGATTGAAGGATGTAAAAGAAAATTATCAAAGAGAATCAACGTCTGCAAACAAATAAGTCTTAATAACAAAGCAGAAAATAAAGATGAGTTGCTTTGGGACAGAAAATCGCGACCTATTTAGAGAAAATACTAGTAACCAAAATAACTAAGCATGCAACCAATTTTAGCATGAAGATTTTGAATGAGTTCTTGCAAGTGCGCTGTGTTAGCACCGATATTTTCAGGAAAAAGTCAAATGGATTGACGCATACATAATTACAACAGTCAGCATAATAATAACAATAGTGTTGCATTATGCATGTACTATGCCTAAATAGTAGGCAGGGTTTGACACATAGTGCACTCGCCTCCGGCTCGTGCACCATGTGTCAAACCCTGCCTACTATTTAGGCATAGTACATGCATAATGCAACACTATTATATAAATGTAAATTGGGTGTGCTTATCCATGGATACTTATATCCATGTATATCTATTTGATCATCTTGATTTCTAGCTGTCTCAAAAAAAAAATGAAAAGGAAATGAAGCTCCTTGATTTTCTCCATACAATCATGTCATATGAGTAGATTCTGATAATCTTATCTTTGTTAGAATTTTTACAGATAATTAGAGATAATTAATTTGTTTCAATGTCAATCAAAATAATTGTAAACATATTGTTTGTGGCTTAATTTCCCTTCAAGATCATTTTTAGAGTTCATTCATTCTTTCAAATAAAAGCATGAGCATACATGTGATAATTCCAAAACCTAAAATGTCCAAAAATACTTTACTGGAGCCTTGAAGGTAAACACATCTTAATTCATCAAAAACTGTACTAAAACTGTATACAATATTGATAGGGAGCGCAGCGAGCGTTGCAAAGCCCCGTTCCCGCGAGAATAAAGAGAAAAGTTTAAAGAAAAATAGACTTGCCTTGATTTAATGAATATATCTGTTTATTGCAGAAAAATATTCATAAACTGATTGAAATCAGCCCTGTTCAGGCTTCGGTTTGGTAAAGCAACATGCAAACAACGTCATGTGACGTCAGAGTCTTCTCCGAACCGAACGTCACGTGCAGTTTGATGAGTACGATCTAAATGAAAACTGGATAAGTATCTGCACGCGCCCTAACGGTCGCGCCATCAACATATTAAAAAATGCTTCATTATTATTGATGACTTTTAAATTAAGAAAGATATGTGTTATACCGGTACTAGTGTGTGTAGTTTTACTTAATACTTATAGCAAGTTGACATTGATTGGGTAATTTTCTGCTGTACTTAGCCTATTTGTTTGTCAGCTGGTCACTCATCACGCACACGGACGACTCCTTGTATCTCGACATTTTCAGAAATTCACACCTTTCACACCTATGTTTTGACTACACACTGCTTCTGTAGAAATGTGTTTGTAGAGGAATCCCAAGCCCATCAGCGTCTCTGAGACGTTAATTGTTTAATGTTCATTTTGGGTAATATAATTGACAAATCTGCTCAATTCTGCATAAATGTACAACTGTTTAGTTATGTCGAAATCTAACAAAATTGTAAAAAAAAGTAGCTGAATTATAATGAATAATATACACATTAAATTCAATTCAACTTGGAAATTGCGATAAAATGCATTCAACAGGAAACAATCCAATCTACAACATGCACGACTATCAACCATAATATTCATGTGTTACAACACTGAGTTTGTTTTTATACGAAAATCCTTTTAAATTTTGATTTGAAAATGAAATGAAAAATAATGAATAAAATAATGAATGACGATGAAATAAAAAAGAAGTGAAGTAAAATAACTTTTAAAAATAAGCATGAATTTTTTTTTCTGTATCACAGAGTTGACTTTATACCATTACGGTTCGTAGTTTGTAGAGCGCATGCCGTATCCTGTTCTGACAAAGCAAGTTGCACACAGAATGCTGGATGGAAAACTATTATTTGTAAACTGAGAAGATTTCCATAAAAAAGGGAATTTCATAAATTACTCTTGTGAATAATTTCTCAGATTTTCTAATAAATATAGAGGGATAACTGAAATAAACGAACTACAATCTATTGAAGACGTGTACGTAGTTACACGTCTGTTTTACTATGCAGTAAAATTGAGGATGTTGAGTCTCAACTCTGATATCTCGACACCTCGAATATCTTAATATTTCTCCGTTGTCCCTTCGATGTCGAGATAATGAAGTTTACCTGTACCTGAAACGCAATTTTCCAAATTCCAAGATCTGTTTCCATAGAAACAGAAATCCATAGCAACAAATAATTATTGGGTTAAGTTTGAAGGATGAGGCCTTCTTTTGCATGGCATTTAAAGACAATCTGGGATCATAGTCTTGTCAAAAAAGTTTTAAAGTGCTTACAGATAATGGACTGAAAAGGGGACCTGTCTTCAAGGTCAAGGTCACTACAGCATGTTCTTTCTGGAGGCTGCACTGTTAGAGCTGACAGCTGCATTTTCATTAGGGTATCCAGTTCCCTGCAAGCTGGTTAACTAAATAAGCAATGTGGATTCTGATGAGTTGTGTTGTATATCTGATGTTCAATTTCCAAGTCATTATATAGTTGCTTCATAAAGGTTTTCATCTTACTCAGTCTCATTACCTGTTTGTCATAATATTGTCTATATACTGGTATATTGTGGCATCAAGGACTGCCGGCAATAACAAGAAATTTCTGGATCTAAAGAAGCACTTCAGTACAAATCATTGTTCAGATGTCATAGATATATGTTATGGTTGTTTGATAATTTTCTGATTGTTATTTGTTCTTTACACACCAGACTTTAATTAATATTTTGTGTAATTCTCCTTTATTTCTGACTCAAGGTTATTAAGTTTTTTTAGGTCACCTGAGTAAACTCAGGTGTCCTATTGCTATCTGTTTTCGCCCGTCGTCGTGCGTCGTTCGTCGTGTGCTAACGTTTGAACATTTTCAGCTTCTTCTCTGCAACCACTCAACCAATTTCCACCAAATTTTACACAAAGCATCTATTGGTGAAGGGGAACAAAAATTGTGAATTCCATGGTTCCTGCCCCCCTGGGCCTGAGGGGTGAGGCCAAAACCACTAAAATTAATGCAATCTTTAAAAATCTTCTTTTTTACCCCTGGACATCAAGAAGTCAAACTGTTAGCATGAATGGAATGACCATTGAGTCCTCT